TTTATAATTTTTTACTTTAACACTTTATTTTAAATATTTAATTATTTTTTTTTACTTTTTACAATTTGTATTTATAATATCTTTTATTTTTTATATATATTTTTATATCACTTTTTGATTTTAAGTATTTCCTAATATTATCTTACTTTTTTTTTTTAGGTTTTATTTATTTTATAATTTATTTCACTTTTTTATAATTTTTTCACTTAACTTTATTGCTATCGCACAGAAGCTGACAAGCCCCCCATGTGATAGCATTTAGAGGTGACAGGTTCTTTTTTTATGTAACCTGTCACCTCCAATACAGGAGTTCAAGCACTGTGCTGGCTCCCCTGTGATAGCTGGGAGGGGAAAGGCCGCGAGTGCAGCTCTCCCATCTCAGTGTTCACACGGAGCATCCCCGACATCACTTGAACAGCTTGCCCCCCCCCCGCTCTACATTTAGTTCTGCTTGCCCAAATCAGGGCTAAATGTAGAAGAAAAAAGACTTACCCGGCGCCCGGAACTGCATATTCCGTGCGTCAGGCGATAGGAATTCCACACCATGGGCGTCCCAAAGCGGTTACCGGGTGACACCCCGCCGTGACACATCGCACATGCGCAGTGATCTCATTGATTCCTGCCGGCGACCATCTTGGTGATAGAGAGAGGAGGGGACAGTCACCAGGTGGGGTGAGGTATGCCCCCGGGTCCCCTCCTCTCTCCCGAAACTATCGGGCTCTCGGTCCATGACAAAGTGCCCGACTGTTTTTAGAGGGGGGTGACACCAATATGACTGTCATTTTGGTGTCACCCCTCCAATGGTGACACTCGGGTGTGAGGCACACCCCCCTTGTGACGCCACTGTTCCACACCCCTGCCGCCGAGGGCAGGCCTCGGTGGCCTTGTGGGAAACCCGGCACTGTAGGTGGTCATATTAACCCCGTAATGACGGAAGGTAACCTAAATCTTGACACATGAACCCCGTTTTGCAACTTCCATCTTTTAAACTTTTCAGCCAATGAGAAGGCTTGCCTCAATCAGCCAATCACAGGGGGGCACTTTCCTTTGCACAACCTATTTACATAAAAGTAACACGAGAGAAAGTCTCTTTTACGGAGCCCCTCGTCGGAATGTCACATGAGCCGGCTTGGTGCGCGCCGTTCGGGAGAGAACCGACGATGGGCTCCGGTCACTAACACAATAGGATCCGTATTTTAAATAAGTGACGGTTATTTTCAGCCAAGTCCGATGAGATGAACCTCCTGATCCTTGTTGTCTCCTCCTTTTTCCAGGGGCCGGATTTTGGCTACGTTACGAAAGTGGCAGACTCCGACGACGTGACCAGCCTGGACTCCTTCGGGAATCTGGAAGTCAGCCCGCCGGTGACCGTCGGCGGCAAGAAGTATCCTCTGGGGCGAATTCTGATCGGAAGCAGCTTTCCCACGTAAGGATTTCACCGATTTTTGGGGTACGGCTCTCGGGTCAGTGACCTCCGGTGATGTAACGCGTCCTCGCAACATGGAGCCAGCGCCACTGCCTCCTTCTCATTGGACGCAAATTCACACTGGGTGTAACACGCACCCATCACAATGTTGGGGTCGGCTGGGGAGATTTTTCAGTACGTCTGAAGTCCTTTTCTATCCTCTTTTTTTCCTTTTTCATGAGAAATAACACGATGACATCATACAAAATCATCTCTGGCTCTGTGACTGTGTTAGGCCCCGTTCACATTGAGCGGTTCGCAAATGGCGCGATTTGCATTTTGCGCGATTTGTCGCAAATGATTGCATTGAGCAAGCTTGAATCACGGCTAAATCCACTCCAAAAAGGGTCCTGCTGTAGCGACGCATGACCCGCGACAGCAGGACCCTTTGCCCCATTGAGAAGCATTGGAGAGCGATATCGCGCTGTAAATTGCAGCGCGATATCGCGGGAATTACCACGCGATAAGTCGCTCAATGTGAACGGGGCCTGAGAGTCAGAAAGTCCACTCGGTTTACCTCTAAGCTCCAGTGCAGATACATGGATGCGGCTATTTATAATAAGGGACTGCAGCCTCTTGAGTCCCACTGTGTGAGGGCGGGGCTACACTGGAGGGGGCGGAGCTGTAACCAGGGAACACCGTGACTACATTTTCTCAGGCTCACATTCAGGACCATTCTGAAGGATATTCTTCTGCCAGCTAGAAGAATTTAGTTGGCGGTGAGGGAGGACGGGGGGTGGGGGGTTCGGGTTATTTGGAGAGTGCAGATAGACTGGGTTCCCTCATTAAATGTATATTTTTTTTCATTTGATTTGCCCCTTTAAATTATGAATTTTGGGGGTAATAGAAGTATACAGCTGAACGTAATGTGCGCTTTCAGTTATCAGCACGCTGGGAAGTCGCCGGTCCCCCATTGCCCGTGTCCTCTCTGACCCCTCTCTTGTCTCTGTGGGGTGGCCGGGCTCAGAGTAATTCTAGATCATCAGCTGTCACATGAATGGCAGTAAACACCTTGGGCCAATGAAGGCACATTGCTGAGCGGGCATAGTTATTTGTGAGGGTTCTCCGCGCTGCGCTCATCTCTTCGGAAACCCTAGAGTACCCCTCGGCCAGAGGTGACACAAGCACGCACATGGGATGCAAGGACACTGATATGGACATTACATGACGTAACCTCACCGGCAACGTCTGCACATGGGTCCCATTTCCAGCAAATAGTCCTGCACAGACGTTTGGCCATCGAGGTCACGCTGGAAGTGTTCTCGATTTCATTTTCATGGAACAAACGTGAAACGATTTATTTACTTGTTGAATAGAAATATATAACCAGTAACATGCAGCACATGCAAGGCGGCCTTAGAATAGTTTTGAACTAGAAAAGGGAAAAACATTAAAAAAGGGAGAATGGAGAGACCTCCTCGGAGGCCGCGGACTGATGGGGGGGTTCAAACTTTTGCACGTTCCTCTTATTCTGTCCAGTCCGGTATATTCGGAGAAGAAATAGGAATTGCAGTTTACGGAACGTGCAGAAAGAGGTTTCCATCACCGGTAACTCGCTGTTGTTCTCTTGCCCCCCTCAGCACTTCTGGGAGACGGATGACCAAAGTGGTGAGGGACTTTCTGTATGCCCAGCAGGTTCAGGAACCCATCGAGCTCTTCAGTGATTGGCTGCTGGTGGGTCACGTGGACGAGTTCTTGACTTTTGTGCCAGCACCAAATGGGAAGGTATGTCCACCGGGCTTGTTGTGTTGTATCGGGGTTGTCTTTAGTATGTGTATTCATGTTGAATATTAGGAATAGGGTCACCATTGGCTTGTGGAAGTTCGGTAAAGTCTTGTGTGGTGACACAACATGAAAATGTTACAGACACAACTAGACGCAGGGGTGTCAAACCCTTTAATCCGCATCAACATTATGGTTGCCCTCAAAGGGCTTGTAAGACTATATATATGTATCTAATCTTTATCAAAATTGCCTCTGCATTCGATTTATCACTGGTTTTAGTAATAACTTAAAGGAGAACTATGAGGCGAGTGATTTCCACTCACCTCATAGTTCGGGGCGACGTGTGACAATGAGACTGTCACAGGTCGGCTCAGTAGATCGGGAGGTGAGCGAACAGATACCGGCGTTCGCTCACCTCTCGATCCTGTTACGGCTCTCTGCCGTGACAGGGGAGGGGCTGGATTCTCCCCTCCCCACCAGCGCTGACTGGCGGAAAGGACGGTGGAGTACAGCTGGCGTACGGGGCTGGAGTACGCCCCGGGTACAGCTGGCTCTGCCTCTAGATAGGCGGAGCCAGCTGTCACTCACGCAGCTGGGCAGATCTCGACATTGATGTCGGGATCCGCTCCGGCTGCGGCGTCTCAGTATACCGCGAGCTGTAGCTCCCTATATACTGAGCTTAGGGTGACGGGAGGACGCTAGTTTGTGTCCTCCCGTTACCCTAAGGAGAGCTATGGGGAAAAGCCCTGACCTCATAGTTCTCCATTAATACCTAGATCTGAAAGTAGAAGTCTAGGAAATGGCCTGGTGGGCCGGATTTGGGCCTTGAGTTTGACACGTGTTCTAAAGGAACGGGATAATTATCCTGGCCGTGCAATGCTGCCACCTGCTGCATGTTGTGAGCATTACCTCATCTCCTGCTGATTATTCCATAGAAGCCATCAAACTGTCCAATAAGAACTTGTCTGTATTGTCCCACAACAACCAATCAGGTTAAGCCTTTGAGACCCCAACTCTCATTTTTCCCAGTGCAGGTTTGAATCCGGTTGGGGCTACTGGGCCACATAGACAACTTTTGTATTTATTTCCTTGGTCGGTGGGGTTTTCTGGGTAAGCAGATGGACCCCGCTCACTTATCTCTTCTCTCCCCAGGGTTTCCGCCTCCTTCTGGCCAGTCCAGCCACTTGTTTACGAATCCTGCAGGAGAAGAAGCAGGAAGGGCATGGAGACGTCATCCTGCTCCAGGGTACGTGACCCGTTGGGGCCGTGCATCTCTGTCCTGCACCATGACATGTTATAGGACACGCTCTATAACGTGATGTCTGATTTTAGGTTTTATTGTGCGTACAGTTGAACACGAAAACAAGCTGTGCGACTCCTGAGCTGAACTCTCTACAGACTATAATTGTTGATGTTTGAACGTTAATTGGTTTCAGAAACCCTTCGAGTGTAATTATGTACCAGTGATGGCTTCTCTCTTAGTCAAGGTTTGCCAGTCTGCTTATCTAGTAGAGTCGTCATGTATACTTATCCTGGATCCCAGCAGTTGCTCTGTTGGGGTGCTGAATGCATGCCCAATGTACAGATGGCCACTAGAGGGAGAACCCACTCTTCCAGATATGTGATACAATAATGTACAGATCTGAGATGTCTGCATTGCTGCTTCAGTCCTGTGTGGTAGATTACACTGAGTGGCCGGATTATTATGACCCCCCGCCCCCATCAGTACTTGGTTGGGCCGCCTGGTGACTCCACGAGATGATGAAAGGCGATGCAAGGAATCTGACACGGCACTGTGGCCCCTCTGTTGTCTTGTACCAGTCTTGCCCCTCCCCCGTTCTGCCCTAACATTGACTAGTCGCTGACGGCCACAATTCGCACATTCAGACCCAGATTTACTCTGCGATTGTCAGCAGGGACAAGGCTTTCCCTAAGCTGATGTCATTTTTCTTCTTTTTCCACCTATTTTGCTACATTTGTGATATTTTGTTACACCTCAGCGTTGCAGTAAAATCCAACAAGGGTTCTAGTCCTTCCCAGTCATCCTAAACTTTACCTGGCTGGATAAACACTTTAAATGGTGCTCCAAGGGCAGTGTATATTGGAGCTGATGCTCATAGCTGTCCCACTGTTGCTCCAGTTTAAATATATACTCCTTGTAATGTAGGCCGGCTCTTTGCTGATTGGCTGGAGGTGTATTGGGGTGTTTTGCTGTCATGCTTAGTACATATTTAGTTTCTGTTAGGTAAATATAAATGTGTTCACACAATAACAGGAGTGCCCTGGTATCATTGCAGGATTTGAAACCAAGAGATGGACAGTCAGCAAAGTCCTGTCCACGGATGTCATCGTGATGGAAAATGCTTACGCTCAGGTATGACATATGGACGTAATCCCTGTACATCATCCGGGGGTGTAGAGTATATCAGGCTGCAGGCTGGAGTTGACGTCAGTGGTGGTGTGATGAAAATTTGAACGTACAAAACGAAAAGTCAGAACGTACAAAGGGCCCTGAGCAGGCTTCTCCTACCCTCATGTGGCAGCTCATGCCTAGCAAATGGTCACTTATGCAGCGAACGCTTCATTGTGGGGTGACAGGAGAAGCGTCACATGGTCCCTCATATCTGCAAGTATTGTATAGTTTTAGTGTGCTCCGGCAGTGGATGGGTCGGTGGTTGTAACTATGGTCCCTCACTTAAAGTAAACCTATCCAGGAAGCCTGGTATGGGCAAAGTACGGGTTCACGTCAACCTTTCTAGATTGCCTGTAGGGTCATTATTGATTTATTGTTCCTCGGCAGCACTGCATCGACTGGAATCGGGATATTCTGAAGCGGGAGCTCGGTCTGACTGAAGACGACATTATTGATATTCCGGCCTTGTTCAAATTGCAGGATGGAAAGGCTTGTGCGTTTTTCCCCAATATGGTGAGTTGGGTCCCTGCCTTGCCCATGTTCATTGAGCTCTTCCAACTTTTGGTGAAGGTCCTTCTCCGTCCCACCATGGCTGTCCCACCATGACTGTCCCACCATGACTGTCCCACCATGGCTGTCCCACCATGGCTGTCCCACCATGGCTGTCCCACCATGGCTGTCCCACCATGACTGTCCCACCATGACTGTCCCACCATGACTGTCCCCTGTGTGCAAAGCCAGCTCCATAAAGACATGGTGTGACCAGTTTGGTGGAGGAACTCGAGTGCCCTGCACAGAGTCCTGACCTCAACCCTACTGAATGCTGACAAGTAGCTAGGTCTTCTTGGCCAACATCAGTGCCCGACCTCACAAGTGGGCACAAATTCCCACAGACACCCTCCATAGTCCTATGGAAAGACTTCCCAGGAGAGTGGAGGATGTTACAGACACAATGGGGGAGCAACTCCCTATTAATGTTCATGGTTTTGGAATGGGATGTCCAACAGTTCATATAGGCATCAGGTGTATATATGGTAACTGCAGGAGAGCTGTTTTTAGCCTTTTTGTTCATCTTTTAACCTCTTTGTCCTCATGTCTCACTTTCCTTTAGGTGAATATGATCGTCCTGGGAAAGATACTAGGAATTCCTAAGCCGTATGGTCCAGTCATCAAGGAGACCTGCTGCCTGGAGGACTATGTCATTGACCAGCTCAAGCCACTGGAACTGTCCTGCTCCTTCATCGATGATGTGGTGTCATACCACAAGCAGCTTGGCGAGGTGCACTGTGGCACCAATGTACGCCGAAAGCCATTCTCTTTCAAGTGGTGGCAGATGGAAAAGCCATAGAGTTCCGGCCGGGAGTGAAGCTACCTGTCCCCCATCTGTCATCTCCAGCGATCCGGTGTGCAGTGAAGCCCTCTAGTGTCAGGACTGTAAACTACCACTAACCTCAATCCCTGTGTTATGGGGCCACTAATCAAGGAAGCCGATACCCAGCAGGATCCCAGTTTCGCCCAGCTGCTGCAGCCATTGCATGGCCAAATGAAGGCATCACCCTCCTCTGATGGATTCTCCAACTTGTAAATGAACAAAGAATTGGGCAAACCAGCTGAGACAGGGTGACACCTTCGTTATGGCCTAAGCGGGGTGACCTGGCTGTCACTGAGTTTGCTCATATTTCTTCCCTTTGTTGTAGTGGGCGTGGCCTTTCGCCAACAACTTTCCATTTTTTAGGGTGTGGATAAGCACAAAACCATGAAATATGAATCCTTTAGGGAAGCCTGTACAGTGAATATGAAATAGACGGGTCATACCAGCAAGGATTTGCAGATAAGGGTCTGGATCAGGGGTAGCCAAACTCTGGCCCTCCAGCTGTGGGTGAAACTACAAATCCCATGATGCATCTGTCTGCAGGAGTCGTGGCTGTGAGAATCTTGCAATGCCTCATGGGATTTGTAGTTCCATCACAGCTGGAGGGCCGGAGTTTGGCTACCCCTGGTCTGGATTATACTAACACACACACACACACGTACGTACACACACGCGTACGTACACACACACACGCGTACGTACACACACACACACGCGTACGTACACACACACACACGCGTACGTGCACAAATGACATGGTGTGATCAGCTTGTGAAGGCCACTCAAGTTCCCCCACACCAGAGCCCTGACCTCAACCCTATGGAGCTTAGGAACACCTTATGGAACATAGGTGCTCCATAGGAGTTATTGGGTTCAGGTGCAGAAAGCCAGCTCCATACAGACACGGTGTGACCAGTTTGGTGTGGAGGAACTCAAGTGTCCTGCACAGAGCTCCGACCTCAACCTGACAAGTAGCTGGGTCTTCTTGGCCAACATCAGTACCTGACCTCATAAATGGGCACAGATTCCAACAGAATCTCCAAACTCTTGTGATAAGCCTCCCTAGAAGTGTGGATGATGTTGCAGCCACAAAGACAACTCCATTTTATTGCCCAAGCTCCATAAAAACATGGTGTGACCAGTCTGGTGCGGAGGAACTCGAGTGTCCTACACAGAGTTTTGACCTCAACTCAACTGGACACCTTTGGAATGAATTGGAAACCAGGACTTCTAATCCAACATCAGTACCTGTCCTCACCAATGGGCACAAATTTCCACAGACAGCCTCCAAAATCTTGCAGAAAGCTTTCCAAGAAGAGTGGAGGATGTTATAGGTGCAAAGGGGGGCAACTCTATATTAATGTCCATAGAGGGGCAACGCTATATTAATGGCCATGAGGAGTAACTCAATATTGATGGTTAAGTGCAGGGAGGACAACTCTATATTAAAGGCCATGGTGGGGGAAATCCATATTAATAGCAATTGGGGGAGAAGACATCTTTATATTAATGGCCATGGTGAAGGGGTGTCATCTTCATATTAATGGTTTTGGACAGGGAGGACATCTCTA